GAGCACTCCACTCTTTGACTTCGGAACTATGGGAGTAGTGTTCGGATTCCAAAATTTTGAGTGCAAGTTCCTCAACTGAAGAACGAAGAGCCCGTCCGCGATGCAGAACCACTGAGCATCAGAGAAGCCCAAACTTCGAAGCCCAACTTAACTCCTTGACACCTGGCTGGGGTAAACGACCGCGCAATGCCTTGGCCAAGCATTCCCTTTCCTCAACCAGGACTTCAACTTGGAGTTTCTCAACTGAGAAACAAAGCACCCTACCGCGCTATACCTCGGCCAAGCACTTAATTCCTCAACTTCAGAACTAGGGGAGTGGTGTTTGGGTCATGGTTGAGCTGGCCTTAGATGGCACGTGGCCACCCAATCTGCCCGGTCACCCCAATCATTGCCTGGATTTATGAATGTTGTTAAAATTAATTCGTTTTCTAACAATCGATGTTTTCAAGAAAAAATTAACCATTTTGCATGGCTCCCAAGTCCCAAACTCATTTCAAACAGTGATTATTCGAAGCAGAATTTTAACTAAACACAGCCTTAAATGTTGTCTAGTGAATCAGGATTAATATATGTCTGGGATGTGTTGTGATACATGTTGCTCAGGTTTCGTTAAAACACAAATTAGTCTCGAGAAATTCTTTAGGGATCCCATGTGAAGTCCTTTCCAGTGTTTTAAAACTGGACTGGACCGGAAAAACTGGAAATCAGTCATTTGATCGGTTTTATTTTACCCTATAACCGTTATTTTACCAAAAACCATTAATTTGATCAATAAACCGCTGACCCAAATTGTTGAACCATCAAATTATCGATTCAAATAATGATTTTTAACTACTTTTTATTATTTTTTTATTTTTTTATTAAAATAAATCATCCATTCAGATCAAACAATCAGACTGTTCAATCCAAGAACTGGACCTAAAACGATTCCCTATCCAATCCGGTTTTAAAAACCTTCGTCCCTTCTCAGAATAAGGAAGCCTGTTTGGACAAACTTCCAAACTGCTTGTCAAATGGATAGTGAACAAATACATGTGGTTCTCATTGTTGACTGCACATAGGACATATGTGGTGTAATTCCATTTTGGCCTTTTCAGCGATTGGCCAGAGGAGGTATTAATGCTTTGTCTCGGCTCTTTCCCAATACACATCCACATGTTCCCGGCCTATTCTGACTAATTGAGTGATGCCCATAACGAGCTGCATTCATTCATCAATCGCTATACTTATTTGGCCATTGGAATATTGAGTCCTTCATTCTAACCAAACCAAGTTCCTTCCATTCTACCAATGCTAACTAGCTATGTTTTTTATTAGGCTTGATTTGAAGCCATCAATCTCAATTGAAAATTCACTGTATGGTTAGCATTATATTTTGAAGCCAAATATTTTTATAGTCAATATTATATATATATATATATATATATATATATATATATATATATATATATTGATTGATTGATAGATAGATATGTACATGTATACAATAAAGTTTTTAGTTCTATAATTTCTTAGCTACCATGAAGCTTGCACTAAAACTACGGATCTGTTTGGTGTCTTTTTGCATGGTCTTTCGGCTGTTTATAAGTTGGGAAGACCGATATTTGGTTTATTTCTATTTGGCGTGCGGAAAATTTAGCCACCAAAAAACGGAACATCGAGAAGACATGAAAAACCCATTTTAGACTAATTTCGGGAAACTTCAAATGAAGTTTTTTGCATCCACCAAACGTATTTCGAACTGCTCAGATTTTCATGGACTATTAGAGCTACCAAAAAATTTTCCCAAAAAAACACACCAAACAAGCCATGTAATATAGTAGCTGGGGCAAAATTAGGAGGACCCTGGGGAGCATGATCCCCCTATGCCCCAAAGTCTCCATTGATGGTTGGCCCATCTATATTTATTTATTTCTTCTCCCTTCTCTATGATTAGCCCCCTATATAAGGTTTTCGGTCCAATACCCTTTCCCCATATAGAAAGGGAAAAAGGAAAAAATAAATTTCCCATTCCATCCATGTTTAGCCCCACTCTAAAGTAGATGAGGTGACATTGTGTCGGGCAACAACAATACATAAAAGACCATAATTTACGGTTTTAGCCCCGCGTTAAAAATATATCATGAATTTGAACTCTAACTAATATCTTAATTAATGTCAAATGTTAAATGCTATAAAGGATTGTTCACATAAAATATTATAGATCCCAATTGCTCGGTAGCTCCTTTTTTAATGGGTAAATTATAAAGACCCCCTATACTATGGGGTCTGTGACAAACACACACCCCCCCCTTATACTTTGTTTTGAGACAAAGATTCCCCTCTACTATGACCATGAGACAAAGATCCCTCTTGACCGTTAAGTCAGATGATGAAATGCGTTAAATTATTAAAATACCCCATTAAATTTTTTCTATTTTTCTTTTTTTGCCCATTTTCTCTTAAAACCTATTTAACCTATTGTTTTCCCTTTCTTCTCTTCATTTCCCCTCCCTCATTGTCCCCTCTCATTCTTTCTCTCTCCCAATTCTCCGAAATGAAAGGACGGAGGAAACCCATTTTTCATCTTCCCTTTCTTCTCTTCTCCGTCTTCAATCTTGTCTCTATAGCCATCGCCAACGATGCCTACAATGCTTGATAGCCCAACAACAGATGTCTACCCATATCATCGAGAAGATCACCCAAGGTTGTTTGGTTGTAGTATGGGGAGAGAGGCGGAGAGTTGGTATGGTTGCTTCGCCATCAAGACTATATCAGCAGGCAAATACTACGATGTCATGAGGAGAGAGGTGAAGAGTTGAAAATACTATGGCAAATACTACAGATTTCTGTGAAACAAATGTCTCTTTCTTTCGTTCCCTCTATAAATTTGTCAGGACGAGATACGGATTTCTATAACTAGCTCACTACCTCCGATTGACTCAGGACGATTTTCCTACAATCTGAGACAGAAACAGGTGAGCGAAGATGTCGTTGAAGCAGGATTATGGTAACCACCACAATCACAAGTGGAAGAAGCTATTTTCCTGGTGAGTATTTGTAGTGATTTTTGTATCTATCATTGTAATTCTGTTCGCCATCTTCCTTGTATGGGCGATCCTCCGACCCTCCAAGCCCTAGTTCACACTACAAAATGCTACGGTGTACCAGTTTAACATCTCCGACGGGAACTTCCTCACCTCAAACTTCCAAGTCATAGTCTCATCAAGGAATCCCAACGACAAGATCGGGATCTACTACAACAGGCTCGATGTGTACGCGACGTACAGTAATCAGTAGATCACCCTCTCGACTAGATTGTTGCCCACCTACCAAGGTCACAAAGACATCAATGTTTGGTCTCCGTTCGCCTACGGAATGTCTATGCAAATTGTGCCTTACCTCGCTGCCTCGTTTTCTCAAGAGCATAATTTCGGGACCATCTTGATCAAAATCAAGATGTAGGGTTCCCAAAAGATGACACCCGAGATATCTTGTCTAGCACAATGGTTCGATTCTCGTTCCACGATGATGAACCGTCGAATCGGACATTACCATCAGTCCCATTGGCCACCGGGCAGACCTTTCCACCTCCACCACTGCTTCCCCCCACGAAGGTGCTCTTACCAGACAAAGATGAAACATAAAACGTCTTAATTGTCAAACCATCAAACTTGGGTTGCTTTTGATTCCTGATGCTAGTCATTGTTACAATCTCTACTGTGGTGCCCGAATATCCCGACGCCATTGTTGGTGCTGCAATGGCGGTGTTGTGACCCATTGAGTAAATGGTGAAGTTGGCTAGAAGGATCATGACGTAGACCATGAGAGTCGGCGAGTGTGAGAACACCTGTTGAAAGAGCCACATGAACGAAGTGTGCATCTCCTTCTACACTCGATCCAAAATTCCTTGCAGATCTTCATAGAAAAGGATCTCCCACATCTGCAAGGCATAACTGTGAAGCTCTCGAATGATGAATACCATGGAAGAGAAGGCCTTCTTCACGGAGAAATAAGCGGATTCACCAGCTTCTCTGAAGCCTTCTTGTCATTTCCTCTTCTTCTTTATCATCCGAAGGGACAGGGGAAGATCAACACTGTTCGCCTTCCGCTCTATGCTCACCAGGATAATGTCATCCTTTTCCAGCCAGTCGGGGGGTTCTGGACTAATCCCCAGTCGCGGAGTCTCTATGGAATCAAGAAGATTCGAAGGGGAAAATGGTATGGGACTCTATACAGGGTTTATGATACTACTCATTCTAGGTAAATCTTCATTGAAGCAATTGTTGTTGCTTCCGCTTTCTTCATCCTTGGAATTGTCGGCTCAGGATTGAATCGTCGTTTGGCTATAGTATTTGCCATAATATTTGCCCGCTTGTACCAGCAGCCAATCGTCGTTTGGCTGTAGCCGGGATTAAATGGGTTCAATCACGACGTTGTAGTATTTTCAATTCCCATATTTAAGGGTATTATGGGGATTAAAAAATATTATAACAGTCTTTTTGAACTGAAGACTAACGAAAGAGGGTCTTTGTCTCACGATCATAGTACAGGGGGTCTTTCTCACAAAACAAATTACAAGGGTTTTTGTCACAAAACCTATAGTATAGGGGTCTTCATAATTTACCCTTTTTTAATTGATTATATTAAATTAATTTGTCCGGACAACTGCTGGAGCATCTCTCATGTCTCATGTATAACAAGGAGATATTATCCATTGAAACAATATTGGGAGCGTTGCGTTGGTAGCAGATCCCTGCCCCGATGTAGGACCAGGTGTTATCAGCTCTTGACCATTGAAAACCGACAGATCTATGCTTCTTATTAATTATTATTCACGGGAAATACACGGTGGATGTGCGTGTGAGGCGCCCATTTGTAAGTGGCAGATCTCGCTTCGTATATGGATTTCATGCAATTCAACATTATTGTGGGGGAGCCGGATGAGCTGGACATAAAATCATGCACACCGGACTCTACTGAGTGCTGAATACGTCAGTGTTCGGTACAGATGGGCCCAGATAGGGCCCACAATCCGGTCACCATTCTAAGGACCATTACAGTTACATTTAAATATTTAATAATAGTTGAAATTAGAGCGTCTGTTCTTCCATTCACGACGACGATGTTCAATTCAATCACTTCCATCCATGGACAGCCCAAGAGCTTATAAAGACCCCAACTACAAGCACCAAATTTGCAGGGCTGAAGCCAACAAGAACAACAGCAACTACCCTTTTATCGATCGATCAATGGATCATCACGATGTTTTTCATCTTTCTTATCCTCGTCGTCTTCATCCTCATCGCCACTTCGCCGATCAAAATGGCTTCAAACAGGCGCCAGTGATGGTGGTGACGGTGCCCTTTCCGGCACAAGGTCATCTCAATCAGCTCTTACACTTATCCCGTCTCATATCGGCCTACGGCATTCCGGTTCACTACGTTGCCTCTGCAACTCACAACCGTCAAGCAAAGCATCGCGTCCATGGCTGGGATCCTCTCTCCACACCTAACCTCCACTTCCATGACTTCCCCTTGCCACCATTCCTCAACCCTCCGCCCAACCCACATGCTCCAATCAAGTTCCCCGCCCATCTCCAACCTACCTTCGACGCCTCGTTGCACCTCCGCGAGCCCCTCGCCCAACTTCTCGATTCGCTTTCCGCCATCGCTTATAGAGTTGTTGTTATCCACGACACGCTCATGGCTTATGCTGTGCAGGATGTGGTCGCCCTCCCCAATGCCGAGGCCTACGCCTTTCACCCAGTCTCGGCCTTCGCCATTGTCTTCCACTTATGGGAATCCCTTGGAAGACCTACAGATGAAGGAATTCTTATTCCAAACGACGTACCCCATCATTCTCTGGAAGGCTGCTTCACCGGTGAGTTTGCTAAATTCATTGCCCGTCAGTATGATTTGATGAATTTCGACGTTGGTGATCTGTACAACACATGCCGAGCAATGGAAGGTAGGTTCGTAGATCTGTTGGATCAGGAGAAACTCAGCGGGAATAAGAGAATATGGGCGGTTGGCCCGCTGAACCCAGTTGTCCTTGGTGCGGCCAGAGAGTCTCCCTGGCGACGCCACAAATGCTTGGAGTGGCTGGACAAGCAACCACTGCGGTCGGTGCTATATGTTTCGTTTGGCACCATGACATCGTTGTCCGACGACCAGATCTTTGAGCTTGCAGTTGGGCTAGAACGCAGCAAGCAACGTTTCATCTGGGTGTTAAGAGAAGCTGACAGAGGAGACATTTACGCTGAGGAGGAGGAAGCTAGGGTAACCCAACTTCCAAAGGGATACGAGGAGAGGGTCGAGGGTGTGGGGCTGATAGTGAGGGACTGGGCACCACAACTTGAGATTCTGGCCCACAGAGCGACGGGTGGATTCCTGAGCCACTGTGGCTGGAATTCATGCGTGGAAAGCATCAGCATGGGCGTGCCAATTGCGGCTTGGCCCATGCACTCCGACCAGCCAAGGAACACCATGCTTGTGACCCAGGTGCTGAGGGTTGGCCTCGTCGTCCGAGAGTGGGCACGGCGGCATGAATTGGTCTCTTCCGACGCCGTCGAAGATGCAGCCAGGAAGTTGATGGCATCAGAGGAAGGAGATGACATGAGGAAGAAAGCTGAGATGTTAGGCGGTGCCGTCCGAGACTCCATGTCCGAAGGTGGAATTTCTCGTGCTGAGTTAGATTCTTTCGTAGCCCACATCTCTAGAGTCTAGATAAGTGTTAGACCTCACATAACATCTTAAAAGCTTTAAGTTGAATGGTTCTTTGAGATGTTATTATAGCCACTTTGGTCAAGTGGTATAATGTTCAATCTTAGTTAGGTGTTAGAGCTCACATAACATCATAAAAGCTTTTAAAGCTTTTAAGTTGAACGATTCTTTGAGATGTTATTATAGCCACTTTGATCAAGTGGTATAATGTTCAATCTTCGTTATCCTTGTTATAATTAATTAATTTTTAGTACAAACTACGAGTGGGTGGAACTGTACTTGTTCAAACTTTTAAGTCCAGAAAATATCAACCTATTGACACCTAACAGCTTAACCTTTTTGATTGGTTGAATGATTCTTTTGAGAATAAAAAACCCACGGCGGTGGTGATTGCCATTCATGAAATTGAAGCAGTGTCTGCCAAACATTTGAGCAGCAGGTGGGGTTTCTACTTCCTAGCTTTTTCATTGTCACCATGGTCTACAGACCATACACAAAACAAAAGCTTCGGATCGGTTGGTAAGGTGGTCTAATCAGGTCAATCGGGAACAGGCCCACTACCTTTGTCATTGTACCATTTTGAAGTTTATTTATAATTTAGGATAAGTAGACTGCAGTACTCCACCTAGAAATATGAAATTACACTGAAACGATACGACAAATCTATTAGTTTGCCACCTGAAACAAGTACTATTCCTTGTAAATGATGTGACTGCAAGCAGGCAACAACAGATGCATTGGGCCATGACGCCAACGTCTCTGTGTGGTGGTCAGGGTTGTCATCACATAAAAGGAACAAACAAAATTAAAGAACAAAAAGAGAATTAAGTAATTTGAATTGTTGCATTATGAGTACCGCATTGTGAGCATTTCAGACCTTTTTTTCTGCTTGAATTTTGGGTGGGTGACACAGGATATTCGTATATGGTCTGTAGATCTGGGTCGATCTGTCTGATGTTTTAAAACCTTGGGACCCAACTGAGATGGGTCCTACGTACTGACCAGATCAGACCAGCTAGACCAATAATCAGCATCCACAGCGAAATATGGTTTATTGGTTTTTGGTTAAAATGCTGATTTTTTGCATTCCGGTCGAATGTAGGGGATGTTTGGAATCGTGATCATTTTTTTAAAAAATGGTGCTATATCGGATCTACATAAGCGTTTCAACAAACGTTCATGTATCCAAATGTTTGGTTCAGCCGATTATTAAAAAATCAAGTATGACTCAAAAATCAGGACCCCACCGATGCATAAAACGCTAAGTTATTTTACATTTTTCCTTTAGGTTATGTTTGGTTTGAAGGAAAATATAGTGAAAGGAAGGAAAAAGTAGGAAAACCTTTACAACACTTGTATTGGTTTTCCTTTCCCTTCCTTTTCCTACCTTTTCTTTCAAACCAAACATAACCTTATTGATAATGTTTATTTAAAAAAAAAAAGAAGGTAAAAGACTTGAACATACTCTGGATTTTTATTAATTGACTTAAACATATCCTGAGTTTTGCAAAAGGACTTTTACATACCTTGTGGGTTGACCCCACTTGACTTAAATATACCTTCTATTTAAAAAATATTAATAATAGTTAAATACGTGGTTATGTGGCCTATTTAATTCTTTTAAAAACCCTATTTTACTCTTCTCTACCTTGTTAATAATCAGTAATATCTACAAATTGATATGGGTTGGAAAACAGAGATAGCCGCCACCTATTTGACGATTGTATAAATGAATCATGTCCATAAAAATCCTCTCCAATTCACACACCAACTCCCCAATATGCTAGGTTGCATAGCTTGGCCCAACATACTCAAAAGGTCAATGATCCAAAATGATGCCACCATGTTGTTGTGTCTTCTTTTTCTTTTTTCTTTTTTGGAAATACATAAGATGCATTCCCAAATTGAATTCAGAAAGCTGTCAGGGTACAATAGTACAATCATGAATTCTGAAAGCTGAATTGCCAAAAATTGCAGAGACGACAATATAGATGGCATAAACTAGCTCATGAATCGACAAAGATGGTAATCAAGACATGCTCTTAACGTTAGACCAACATAACTAGAATCAAATAGAACTGGATTTCGTCACTTTTCAACTAAATTATAAAAATGAAATAATGTATTTTTCAGCTTGCCTATTAAAAATAAATTAAAATAAAAATTAATCAGTGCGTTTAATGACCAATAAAATCTATAAATTTAACAAGACCCATAAAATAGAAACAATATGTAATGACCCAATTCATAAGTACTTGATTTTGCTTTGCATCAAGACTTTAGTCTCTTATTCCTTAATTAGTTCCTCATTTCAACTTAGGACTGAAAATAGTGGCTTTCTCTGCTCTCTTTTCAAAAATCTCATCTTTAATCCAAACCTCAATAACTAATCCAGTAGCATAAGTTGTTCCAAGAGCCATCCTAACTATTTCAACTGGTTTTACCATAGGGCTTCCCAATATATCTGCCTACAAACCATTAATATGTCAAAAATCATAGAAACATTCTACAAAGAAAGGAACAATCATAGAAATCTATAACTAAAACTGTTAGTTAATTTTACTTAAGTTAATTAGTATAAGTTGGGTCAGTTCTTTGTTTTATTGAAATTAAATAAGTCAATTTAGTTAAGTGAAATTAATATAGATTAGTAATTTAAGTTAGTAAGTAATTAATTAAGTTAATATTAATTACATAATGTTATTACTTAAGTCATGAATTAGTTTTATTATTATTTTATTATTTTATTATTTTCATTAATATTTTATTATTTGTTAAATACATTATTGTTTGGTTTTATTTTCTATTAATTTATTGGCTATATATTATTTATTAATTTAAATGACAAGTGGGAGGCTAGGTGTTGGTAGGTTGGTTTGGACAAGGAATGGCTTGGCGGGTGAAGGAGATGCTGGTAGGGTGGCCTGGGCAAGATGGGGCATGCATGGGCACAGGCGGGCACAGGGTTCAGCTGAGTCTGGATCTCCTGTCCACGCAAACTCTACCCACGTTAATCGTAGTCATATATGGAGAACATCTCAACCTCTGCATAGTATTATGCAGAGGGAGATGTTCCCAATTCATGGATGATAGTGTGTTGTGGGTAAACGTGGACAGAATTCTCATGAGTAGGAATTCCGGAATCGGTTGGGCTAAGTTAATCCGCTTACACAAGGGAGGGGTTGTGTGGCCACTAGGAAATTCTATTGAGCACTTAGTGCCCATAGAGAAAAAATGATGTCTAGATAAAAGAATTATATATATATATATATATATATATATACCAACGTACAAGTATGGAAGGAAAAATTTGTCCTTTTGTTGAACCCTCCAAGATAACAATGCAAAGCATGTATAATTCGCAAAAATCAGGGTATATTTAAGTTAATTAACCAAAACCCAAGATATGTTTAAGTGTTTTTATTAAAATGAAACCTCCTTTACCAAAATTCTATCAACAATTTATCCATCAACTGAAAATTAGAAGACTAAAGGGAGAATTTGAAAAAGAGGGGTTGATTGAAGGAACACCAATAAAGAATCATTGTCTTAAGAAGATTAATTTTGTACCAAAATCTAGAGAATGCAGATTGGTTATAACATCATAATTTGTAATAAATGCCATTTTAAATACTCTCCTACTAGAGTTGTGTAAGATAGTTACAAAACCAGAGTTAATGGATCATCTATTTGAGCAATAATGTGATATCAATAAGTTATAGATTAAATTCCAGCAAATTCTAAAGGATATTGGGATATCTCTTGACGATCACTTCCGCACAAAATTAAACATATTTCAACAATTAAAGCAATGAGGTTTTACAATGACAGATGATATTTTTGTCACGCATACACATCTTTACTACCATCACCATTATTAGAATTTATTGGTTTAAACTACCTCCAACAAAATACAACGTACAATTTTATTAAATTTATGAATATCATGAAGATTTATGAGGATGATATCATTAAAGTTGATATGATAGGGGAAGTTGAATATTTAAATCTTCCAAATAAACAAGATACACAACATTAAATACTATTGATTAGTAGGGGTGATCAGGAAAAGCCAAAAAAATAAAAAAACTGAACCGAATCGATGATACCAAATTAAAAATTTCTGTTAATCAAACCGATTAGTTCGGTTTTGGTTAACCAACATAAACTGGTGGTTAACCATACTAACCAGTATATAAATGCATTATATATTATAAATATATTATCTATTATTTATAAAATAATATTTTATATGTATTTCTAGTTCTTATAATATAATATTTTATATCTATTATATAATATTATGAAAATAAAAAAAATAAAAAAAAAATCAATGAACCAAACCGATTAACTGGTTAACCGGTCGGCTCTAGTTCAATTTCGGTTATCGATTTCCTAAAAACCAGTACACCTATTCAGTATAGAAAATAGACCATGAGCACCCTATTGATCGGTAATTAATTATTTTACAGTATCAACATATTACATATATAATTAATACATCATCCTTTAAAATTTATCTATATGATTCTAATATTTTTTAGAAACACCACAAGAAAATAGAACTATCAACAAAACTGTAGCTATAAATCCAAAAAACTGTAGCTATAGGTCTAAAGCTATGGACTAGGTACAGTAAAAAACTGCAACTAAGCGGTGGCTATAAGTAATAGCTACGGATGATAGAATTCGTAGCTAAAATTAACCTATAGTTACTACAAATTTGACTTTATAGCTATGGTCTACTTTGACTGTAGCTAAAAATATAAATCTACAGAATAAAAAACTATAGCTACGGTTTTTAATTGTATGTAGCTAAAACTGTTAATATATGGTTAACGGCTAGATCATGAAATTTTTCATTACTTTTTTAAGCCTTTTTTCATGTATCAAATACAACCACAACATATTCCATTCATAATCAAGCACAACATATTCCATTCATAATATAATTGCATCTCAATGTGCTTTTAATACATCCATGTGTTTAAAATCTATTACAAACTCAAGGTTCTTGAATATGCGAAACTTAATCTGAAAAAAATTGACATGTAAAACTTAATCAAATTTGTCTTCATTCGCACATGTGAAGTATCTCCTTTAGCCTGTTTAACCTATAAGGAAATAATAGAAAATAAGTTAGAAATCATATTTTTAGAAATATAAAATCATGTATGAAAATCTAATAATTAACTGTGCAATATAAACTTACCTACTTCATTCCGAGCCTAATATTTAAACAAATCAGAAGTGCAAGGACTAAATATCATCCACAAATAATGTATTGAGCAATATAATGGTGTGGCAATGTGTATTAATTTATATTTTTCCAATAAATAATTAAAAGGTTGACTTCAATAATTTTATTTGGTTTAAAATCAACCCTTTTAATCATGGATCTCAGCTTTGTTCTGTTCCAATTCCTTTGCATCAATGGATGTATGCGCCATAGGATATCACCTATGTCTAGGCCATGTATGAGCATGACTTGCTATCAATTTCAACCAGCTATTCTTCAACTCTTTGTGTGCAACTTTTTTCAAGTTTTGCTGAATTTTCTTTTCCATTTGTTCTAACAAAAAGGCAAATTAAGCGACAACACATAGTTGAGTTGTTAAGGTCATCATATGGTTATTTTCAGTGTGGATGATCTCCATGATAGAACCCATTTGTTGGTGCTCAAAGCCTCAGACCCCAATTCAAGAACAAAATATCCATAGCTAAAAGTGATATATAGCAACCCATAAAAAATCTGTTTAGTAATTAATTTACAGTATAAGAGGTTATATGATCAAGGGTCTGAATGAATCCCTTAAGTTTGACAAAATTAGCTATAGAAAAAGAGTTTACAAAGTTAGGTCATTAGGGTTCTTCCCCCACATGACCTATCCCAATAACCCCATGGATAAAAGTGGCAACCTCAAAAAAAATATTTAATAATCAATTTTCTTGTATATATAATCAACTTACATGTAGTAAATAAAAATTATTGAAACCTTTCTATTACTAAATAACATTCTTTTCAGGCACTAGAAAGTTATTTAGATTTAATAAATAAAGATCAAAAGCATAGGCATATCCAAAGATTATCATATAATGCTTACCATATTCGAATACTTTTAATGTACACGTTAATAGCTAGCTTTAGTTATTGGCATGCTTTCTTAGTATCATTCATGGGATTAAAGGATGATAAACTTTTTTCTAATGCATAAAGGACCATGAAATGAAAACCTTATATCACAATATGTGAAGCAGAAACTTCAATAAGATTGATGTCTTATTTATTTATTTAAGTGGGTTAAGAATTGAAGGGCAGTATTAACCTAATAGATTTTCATACATAATCAAATAAACTACTAGGGAGAATGTAACCCTAAATCATTAGTCAAATAATAATATATTACACCACTATATGGTTCAAAAATCCCATGGCATTCCACATTATATATATATTAAAATAGAAAATACATAATTTTTATAGAAAATGTGAGTAGCTGCACTTACATTCTATCTATGCCAAATTGTAGACAATATGCAATCATAAATTGTAACTTGTAAGAAAGAATTAAAGAAATATTAAAAATCAGTTTTCTTGTAGTCCTCCTTAGCTTGCAGCTTGGCTAGGTGTCTTGTTGTACTATTATCTTTTCTTATAAAAGTTAACTTTACTTTCTCAAAATAAAAGAAAGAGCATGAAGATACAATTTTAAGATATGTATCATGATACACATAAGAAACACATGGATACATCAATACAACAGAATTGCTATGACACACATGGATATACTAAGGGAACTCATATAAATCCCATAGATGTATCAATGATAGTATGTGATGTGTGAACTACTAGGGCATTTTTTTTATTTTTCATAGAGGATATGCCCAATTTATAAAAAGTAGACGCGCTCAAATCACTACCCTAACAAACACAAACATATGCATCTTCCTTAGCAACATATTAATTATAGAGCCCCATATATCACATTTGATGGTACTCTCAACATAGGAGACAAACTTCTCTTTCATTAACATGGATCCTAAATTCTGCTAAATCTTTTGTTGATAGTCTTACTAGGGGAGGGGTTATGAGATAGGAGTTGTATTGAGGAGTCACACTCCAGATTAGCAAATTGAATTGTATCATATTGCTTATCTTATGCTATGAAAATGTGAGGATTTGTCTTTCCCTAAGTTCTTTAAGGACATATTCTTTCTTGAGGAAAAGGTAATAGAAGTTGGTCTCCTGATTAAACTAGAGCTTAGAAAAGCTCTTTCTTTATCATCAACAACACTCCTTTTTCACCATCTCCTTTTGTAGTTAAAGCTCCTTTCAGTGGCCCTATGCACACCTAAAGTCCAAGTTTTCTGTTGGGGAGTTTTCTTTAAAACCACATAGGTGAAATGCTACTACAAAGATGGACTACTTGGCTTTCGTCCCTTCATGTGTGTGTCCTATATTTTAAGAGTGATGAGGATGTCAACCACTAACCACTTGTTCCAGTGCTCTTGCTCTATATCACAAAGGCATGGACCCATTTTCTTATTCTTTGGCTCATCTTGGTCACCATTGGTGAATGTAAGGGATCTATTTATCATACCTTTGGTTACATTAAACACAAAAAGTTTAAACTTTGGGTTGCATCCCTATCTTGGTATGTAGGCACCTACAGAAAATGCATACCAGGAGTTCTTGACAAGTGATGCAAATGTTGATAAAGAGCCAGTTGTTGTTCACCCTACAAGTTATGTATTAGAGATTACCATTAGTTTGGATGGTTGTTGTTCTTGGCACTTTGTTTCCATGCATTTACCCGGTTCAAAGACCTGGTGACCTGCACTAATGGTTTGGTTTCAAAATTGGTCAGTTACAATCCTGGGCTACTTAACAACATTAAGTAGATTAATTTGTTTTAAGTATGTTTAGTAGGCTATGCAATCAGAGATTATATTGAATGATTCCATTGTTTGCTTGTCATTTTTCTTTTTTCACTAGGATGTCTTTACCTATTTTTGTAACACCAAACTACCTATCAAAAGGAAAATATGTTTTAACATGTCATGTAATTTGTGATAGGCCATCCAGATTCTACATGTTCCTGTCCCCTTCAGGAAGTTCTCTATCTGTCATTCCCCTCGATTTAGTAATGGGATTGCAGTTTTATGGGCACAAGTTATTTACATATCTATCTGATTTTATATCTCTCTAACTTTCATATTGTCATTTGACATTACACCTTTGATATTTGGTTTAGTTAGAAAAGGAAACAAAGGTGTGGACCTTCTTACATCCCTTTGCAACATTTATCATACATCAGAAGATGGGTTGAAAAGAGCAGTGGACAAAGCTAATAACTTAACAATGGATATCTTAAAGAAGCAACCCTCTTTGGCATCACAATGTCAAACTGTAAACCTGGATTATATTAACACAGGTTTTTCTTTCAAATTTGTTTCCATTTCATTGGACTATTTTTTTTCACCCCAATTAAGGGTTTTATCCGTTTCATTGTAGAAGGGTTGACCTATTTTGAAGATTTAATGGAAGATTCATCTTTGTCAAGAAGTTTAATCTGATGCTATTAGTAACAAAAGGAGAAGTAGATGAGAGAATGTTTCTTAATGATGAAGACAGCTTACTTGGTACAGGCAGCTTGTCAGGTGCAATTAGTATTTGTGGCGCAAAGGTACTGTTGCTATTGTTGCCATCATCATTGTTGCTAATGTTGTTTATTGAAAAAAAAGGAGTGCAAATTATGCTATTTCAAAAATGACTTTAAAAGAGGATCTGCAACTTGTTCAAGTCTATAAGGATTATGCTATGGGATTAGGTTTTCTATTAGGATTTGAAGTGTTTGAAGCAAACTACAGAGGGTCTAAATCCAAGAAGAAGGATTTGAAGGGTCTATACTAGAAGTTCAAGGGTAATCTTAACAGGTATAAATTCTTCTGTAGTGCGGCCTTTACATCTCTTATGATACACTATCAAATATTATTGATAGCTAAAATGATGTTCTACAACAGGCTCTTCTGTTCAATGCTCTATTTAGATCCCAAGCTGGATTCACATAGGTTTAGGGATATCCTTGATGAGACAACTGCTGCTGGTACTGATTTCTTTATAGTACCTTGCTGCTATCTAGAATCTTTACAATATGATTATTTTCCTTTGTTCAGGGACTTCTAGTGTACCCTGGATGATATATATTATGCATTATGGAACCATATTAGATAATGTTATAAACTTTTATTTTTTGTTCTTCTTTATCATCAAGAGATCTTAAAGCAACCAAAGTCTATCGAAAGTGGTCTAAGCAAGTATATGAAATCCATATCAAGAATTGTCTACGTGAAAAAACCTTAGCTTATCTATTCACATTATATGCAACATGAATTATAAAGCATGTAATCTCCACCCAGAAAAGGCCAGAAATTTCTTCACATATAGCATTACATTTATATATGTATAATGTATTTCTGCTAATTGACATTGTAGCAAAACAGAATGAAGATATATATTGATGTGGGGTGACCCAACCCAAGCCCATTTGAGGCTGGGAGGCCCAGCCCACGAGTGCCAGATCAGGAAACGAAATCCACTACAGCAGGGGTTACCCTGCCCCAATCGTACGGAGCCAACCACAATGCGCTCACATGACCCCGCAAACCCGCTACAGGCCCTCGTACGGCTCCCATCTCAGGCGTTCATCTCCACCTACCTCCAGGCAGCTCAAGTGTAAATAGGGGTACCCCCCTCCAGGTAAGGGGGTTACAAAAAACACAAGGCCTACAACTGTTGTCATAATAGCTATTGCAGTAACTGTTATTGCGACATTAATCTAGAACTATCTACCAAGATTCTATCCTGGTAATTTCCCTTCGTACCCTATACTAACTTGACCGTCGGAGACTCTGCCTCGGGTTCTCACCCAGGGCCTCTGATGAATTTCTTCCTTGCAGTACTTCGGCCATCTACCCTTCGGCTCAATGCTCAACACATGTACCTACTAAGTCCTTATAACTCTTCGGCCTCGTGACTGGCAGGGGCGCACAACCTCCTCCGAGGCTATACCCCCTCGCTAGACCGACACCAAGACTTAATGAATAAGTAGCAGACACTTATCTATAACTTAGTGCGTCAGAATACGCCAGGACGGCCGAGGGCCCATGTGCCTCAGTGCCCCGCCTCGGCTGCGACTAGCCTCCTGAACTTTCACACTTAGTGCTACCAGCAAAGGAAGCCGGCCCCCACGGAGTGTTGAGCTCAATTTCGTCGAAACAAGTATGGGGGGATACAGGAGTCAGGCGAACCTCGGCACTGCCTAGGCCCCATGGAGCCAGATGAGCCTTAGCTCTATCTAGGCCACCCTCCAATATGGTAGGCCACCTTGGCCTCATCAATGTTAACACGTTGGGATACGAGAGCCAGGTGAGCCCCTGCTCAACCTAGGCCCCACAGATCCAAACGAGCCCCAACTCCATCTCGGCCACCCCTTAATACGGCAGGCCACTTTGGCCCCACCGAACCCAACACTTAGAAGATTGGGAAACAGAAGAGCCCCAGCTCGGCCTCGGCCCCACTCTACATCGACAGGTCATCTTGATATCTACTTAAGGGAAGAGAGCCAGGCCAGCCTCACGCCCCACTTCGGCCTCTCGACCCGAGCCCTTTCAATCTTCTCCTTGGCAAGAAGATCTTGCGTCTTCTTCAGGTTCTCCTCGGCCTCCTCGCGGAACTTCTATTCGTCAACGAAGAACCGCTGCATCTCGCGGCGCTTCTCCACAACATCGGCGGCAGTCTGCTGAAGCTTGTCTTTCTCAACCTCCAGCTTATCCATATTGGCCAAGGTCAACTTCAACCGATCCCCTAAACCAACAAAATGAAGGCAAACCTACAACAAGAAAACAGCCAGTACCCAGCAAAAAGAACAAAAGAAAAAAGAAAAGCAAAGAGGAACAGACTGTTACCTCGGCTAGGCTCTACAACCCTTGGTCGTACAGCTTGTCAAGGGCCATCCCCAACATCTAGAAGCGGTCCTAAGACAGCAAGGACCCGCTTACCAGCACTGGGCCAACTCTCTCGTTGCGGATCAAGTCCCCCTTGCGGACCTCCCACTGAGGGCGGAAGATTTGATCAGACTGCTAGGTGAGCTCCTTCAACGATGTAGGAGCAGAGAACGGCCCCATCAACTCCGTGTGGGACCCCCTCGAGGCGTCACCGGTAGAACTCCTGGTGCGGGCCACCTTCTGCTACGGTTTACCCCCCACAGCCCCCTCGGTTGGCCTTTTCCTCCCCACCTCGACCTCGTCAGTAGGTCCTCTCAACACCTTGTCCAGTTGCTGCGGCGCTTGCTCCTCGCGCCCCGACTGGCCCTCCTCGACAGGCCCCTTCCCCTTCGCGGGGATCTGTAGAGTGGCTCCCTTCAGGGGAGCTGTTGAAGAAGTCCCTTTGGCAGGGACCTGTGCTTTCGTCCCCTTAGTAGGGACCTGGCGGGAAGACCCCCCTTTGTAGGGGTAGAGACCTTCTCCTTCTACCCATCAGAAGGCCTCTGAGGCGTCTTAGCCCGTTCCTTCTACATGGCGCGAGCACGTTCCGGAACAGCCTTGCGGGCATCTATTGGCACCTCTACAAACAAAGTAAAGCCATCAGTAAGGCAAAAAAAAAGAGAAGAGAGAAGAAAAAGGACGTCTTAAAGGACTGCAGGGTCTCTCCTATCGAGGGGAGCAGGGCTGAGCCCCGCAAAAACTAGTGGGACCTCCTCCTCCACCAAGGGCTGGGATCAAACTATCCACAAGTCGAGCAACTACACGAGATCATCCTTCTCCTCACTCGTGAGCACGGGAACACTCTTCTCCGCAGCCTGGCTAACTTCTCCCCACCCCGACATGAAGGACTAACCCTCAGGGCATGACAGAAAGAAGAATTTTCCCTTCCAGTTATGCACATAAGAAGGGTTTTCTATTGGCTTGGTCTTACGGGGTTGGAGGTAATACATGCCGTTTTCGAAGGAATGCCTCATTGGCACAAACAGCGCTCGGAAGAGCCTTAGTGTCAGATCCACCCCCTGGAACCAAGCTACCACCAGCATGGCCACTATGGTCCTAACGACGTTGGGCACCAGCTGGTTGAGAGTAATCCCATACGCCCTCAACAGTTTAGAAATCAGAGGATGAAGGGGAAACCAGAGACCAAACTAGAGGAAATGTTGGTAAACGCAAATCTCCCCCTCCTTAGGAGTTCACGGCCGTTCGCCTACTTCGGGCACCCTCATACCATAGGACGGGGGAATGAAGTACTACTGCCTTGCCAGAGCTTTGACTTGGTCCCCATCCAGAGAGTTCTCGAAACCCAGGCAGAGGACATCAGTCTCACCTACTACCTGGGCAGCCCTCATCCTGGGAACATGATTTAGGGTTCCCTCCCCCCTCGGCTGGGCAGGCCCCTTCAGCCTCCCTCAGTGTCACTGAAGTGGCACTCTCACAGGGAGGGTCCTCGCCTCGACGGCTGCCTTCGGCACCCTCAAGGGCTACCCTTCCCCGAAGCACCATGACCTCTTGCCGTAGGGAGGCAAGTGTAGAGGGACTCAAGGAAGAAAGGGGAGAAGGGGTACGGGAAGAGCTCCCTTCCGATTCATGCGGAAGTTCATAGCACTTAGGTCCAGAATCTGAGAAAGACATTGTTTAAAGTTACCTAAGAAATGTGGAGGAAGAAAGAGTGAGAGTAAAGTGTTGAAGGTTGGAGAGTCTAGAAGCTGCGTTCACTCGAAGGCAAAGACGATTAAAGGCAAACGACGGGAATGTTGCCGCTAAGGGCCCTATTTAAAGAGGAATGAACGACCCAAATTTCTCAAGATCCAATGGCTAAGAAGCCACTGCCTCCACTATCCAATCATGGCGTGTCACGTGATGCTCAACCTCAGAAGGCGAAACGATGCGCTAGAGACGACTCGATCCCTGATCTAACGGACACGAAACGCCTCTACACCTGTGATCCAGCTGCGCCACATCCCTAAACACTCACCCTTAGAAGGCGAAATGATGCTCCGGGTGAACCGACATGTCCGCCCACTGTGGACCACCGGCCTATGCGACCCGGCTGTGCGAATGCACGCACTGGTCAGACCGGAAAGCCGTCCCGTGCACGGGTCCTCAGGCTTCACAAGTCTTCGACCTAAAACAGCCTTCGGCTTCACAGGTCATCGGCCTAAAACAACCTTTGGCTCCACAGGTCTTCGGCCTAAAAAGCCTTAGGTCTAAACAGCCTTCGGCCCCCCATGTTCTCAGCCCAAATGACGGCACCAGAACACCTGCACTGAGCGTGCCTCCCGAATCACTTGTCCGAAGTAGCAGTGTTGTAAACCACTCACAGCCTTGGCCCAACTCATAAAGACGAACCAGGCAAAGATACGAAAGAGGATGCCACCACAGGGTACACTTCGGTTGTCGGACCCACTGGCGCTCACCATTATTACTCCCATCAGCCAAAGCCAAATTTTCCTCTTTGGCCTCGAGAGTGGGGGGCAAGTGATGTGGGGTGACTCAACCTAGCCCATTTGAGGCTGGGAGGCCCAGCCCACAAGCGCCAGATCAGGGAATGAGATCCGTAGCAGCAGGGGTTACCCTGCCCCCATCGTACGAAGCCAACTGCAATGCGCTCACATGACCCTGCCAAACCCCCTGTAGGCCCTCGTACGGCTCCCATCTCATGCGTTCATCTCCACCTACCTCCAGACAGCTCAAGTATAAATAGGGGTACCCCCCCTCCAGGTAAGGGGGTTACAAAAAACACAAGGCCTACAACTGTTGTCATAATAGCTATTGCAATAACTGCTATTGCGACTTTAATCTAGAACTATCTACCAGGATTCTATCCTAGTACTCTCCCTTCGTACCCTGTATTACTTGACTGTTGGAAACTCTGCCTCAAGTAGACCTGTTCATGGGCCGGGTAGGGCCGGGCTTTTAGTGTTCATTAACAGAAAAATAATAGGCCCGAGCCCGAGCCCGGTCCGACCAACGGGCCTAGAACTTGGGCCCGAGCCCGGCCCTGATAAAAAGCCCGAAGCCTGAGCCCGAAGCCCGACCTAATAAAAGAAAATCAAATTTTTCCCTATTCAAATAGACATTATCTATTTTAATTCAGATGTTTTTTTCCCTATTTAAATGAACAATGGGCCTACAAGTGAATCAACAACCTTCTCAAATCAAAAAATTTATTCAAATGGACATCATAGGGTTTTTACTTATGTTTAACTATAGGTCGGGCCGGGTTTACTTAGGTTTAGCTATAGGTCGGGCTGGGCCGGGCTCGGGCCGGGTTATTTTGGCAAAGCCCGAGCCCGGCTCGAATTTTATGTGGGCCGGGCTTTTTGGCCCGAGATTAAGCCCGCGGGCCAAAAAGCCTGTTCAAGCCCGTCCGGGGGTCGGGCCAGCCCGTCGGGCCACCCAGCCCATGAACAGGTCTAGCCTCAAGTTCTCACCCGAGGCCTCTCTGACGAGTTTCTGCCTTGCAGCACTTCGGCCATCTACCCTTGGCTTCTACTATACTCGGAGTCCACCCCACCTCGGCCTCAGTAGCGACCTCTCCGAGTCCTCAAAGCCTTCAGCCACCCTTCGAAGTCCAAGGGCAAAATTACTTTATTGTCCTAGGCCATTCCGAGCATCAACATATATTAAGAACCCTCTCTAAAAGCTCGTGTAGATTTTTTTCCCTTTTATCTGGTTAATATTTATTAATCAAGGTCCATAGCATAGAAGGTGAGAAAAGTAATTATCATCACTGAGCATTATTAGATGCACTAAATATGGCTTCTAGGAAATTTCTAGGCAATGAGATTGCCGCCGTGGATATTTATGTTCATTAAAGGCATCAAACAAGAAGTAAAGTTTACCTTCAGTGCTTCAGCAGTAATCCTTCCAGTGATACTACGGTACAAGTCATTGAAGCTCTCCATTATGTCAGGTAAGGTTGCTTCAAATTTCGTACGGTATGCATATGCATTTTTTACAGGAGCACTACTGTTATGAAGAACATCAGAGACAAGCATAAGTCTTGCAACTTTGGTTGGTCTAAAACAAGAAAAATCACCATGCTTCTTCAGGCTCCAAGTTCGCATATAGTGTCTCAATTCCTAACATAAATGACCCAAAGAAGCCAAGTGCTAGATATCCAATTTAGAACACGGTAATCTGTACCTGAGCAAAGGAGTAAAGTCTCCAAACATAATATGTATGCTCCTTTGAACCAAGTTCAAACAAGAAGTTGAAAAGTGGATTACCACGACCTCTCTCCATAACTGCTTGTTCAAAAGCACATCCTCCATAAAGAACAAACAGAGCCATAGTATCAATTACATGGCGGAGGTGATCATTCTCGGGAGGTACAACCATTATGTCAGGAACATTAGGAGTAAGAACCTATATACCAAGATCAAGCCACAGTGAAAACAAATCAATTTACTATATTCTAAATTCAAGAAATGGGAAATTGAACAGAAAATAATGAACGAAAGAACATTGCTTTACATAATCATACAAATACAGACAATAAAACAATAAGTAGAAGAAAAAGGATAAAGAACTTCATCAAGGAGATGTGAAATGAGATTGTGTACTAGAGTTTCACCCCGGGTTGGAAGCCTTAAACTCAACCTTGATGGTTGCAACTTGGGGAACCCGGGTGCATCTGGGATTGAATGTGCTGTAAGGAATGGGAATGAGTTCATCTTATTAAGCTTCTGTAGTGCAGTTGGCATGGTTCTCACTAAGAGCCGAATTGTTAGCAGTGACTCAATGTCTCGATTTATTGATACAGAGAATTGGACAGGTGTGATCATAGGAGACTGTAAAAGCCGTTAATTCAATTTGGAGTTAGAACTAGTGTAATGACATGTTGAAAGTAAATGGCAAAGATATAACTAGATATTGCATATCAAATTTAACTTTTATAGATATATGTGTCAAAGACAACCATGATAATTACATGTTAATGAAATTGAAAAAAAAAACAAATGTAGAACTCCAAGGTATTCATTTGACCTACCAGCTCAGAACTCTGGTTTGTCACAGAAGTAACTGGTGGACCATCAGGACCAGACAAAATAACAGTACCACCCTGTCAACACATTATATGGGCTTCAGTATCATAGTAAGGGATTTTGAAGAAAAGAAGCATTTCAATTATCCTCTGAAATGGAAAACTCATCCATAAGATTAAGCATAATAAAATATGAATGCCTGTGAATAACAGGCACAATAATTTAAAAATGATATTATAACTACCAACCTCCTTACTCCTGATAGCCATATGCCCTGGTAGGGGAGCAGGTAAGGCTTGTGCTGGAAGAGAGACAGACTTCCCCCAACCAATCTTCAACTCATATTCATAAACAACAACTCCTGGAGAAAAAGAACTTCCACTATTCCTATTCACAAGAAAAATTGCCTGATCTTTTCCATTCGAAAACTGCATGTATATGCAGGAATAGACTTCGGATAAATGTCTAAAGAACAAATTATTGTCAAGATATCGTTGCTTCAAATGAATGTGTGCATAAAAAAGTAAACAATCACAAATAAATAAATAAATAAATTGAACTGAAATAGAGCAATTGGTCAGACTAGAAGAGCTGATAATTTTCAGGCTATCAATTAATTGCCCATTAATCACTTGTCTACTCCGAATCTAGATTAATCACTGGTTAAACCAGAGATCCATTTGGCAAGGACGAACCATATAATTCTGTCCACAGGAGGTGCTAGTTCAAAAATATTAGGCACCTCAAAGAAAGCTTGATGAAACTTGAGCAGATTTAACTGAACCCAGCAGAGCTAGGAACTTTTCAGGAAGACAGAGGCAATTATATATGTATTTTTGACAATTATGACAGAGGTTGAGTTATATCTTCTGACTCCTTCAGATCCATTAAGTTACATTTGCAGTTTGTCCGTTGTTATTATTATATAAAGCCTCTTACTGCATAGCTGGTATCCTCTCAGCATTAACATAGTTTCCCCTTCCATTGCCCCGCATTTGATCCTTGCATCAGGATAACTACATACATAATGTTCTCCAATGACATTTATTATGTTTGATCTCTATCTTGGTCAGTACACAAGTTGCAGGAGATGAAAATCATCACTGAAGACCATACTATTGGATAATAGCAAGTGCTTGACTACTTAATTGTTGAAATCTGTTTAGGTCATTATTCTTTTGAGCCCAGACAAAAAGTCACAGAATTCAAACAACCTCATCATATATAAACTCACTGACATGTGATCCCTTTAACCACCTTTGCTGAATTAAAAGTAGAAAATTAGAGTAATAACTTTAATTGTTGGATGTTTGTGGAGGTCAAAATCAATTTCCAAATAGCTCAACAATCATTAATGTGGATTGAGAGAGATGGGCCCCAACATGAAAGAATCATAGGAGGTTAGGAGATACCCATAAAATAAAATAAAATAAAAACAATTCGGCTTCTAAATCCAAGATTTGAGCTAAAAGAATAAAATTAATCACTGAAATTTGTATATTTTCAGGTTTGGAAAGAATTCAGAGCCCCTATTAACTCAAGCTAAGGTGTTTATGGTGGTATTGTAACTCTTGGTAATCTAAGGGGCCATTTGATAACAGCTGAATTTGCTGAACTGAAAGATTTATTATTCTACCATCTAGTCATTAAATAATTAAATAATAGAATTTTCAACCTCTTCAGCCAGTACGGAGCCACATTAGAAAACTTATTTGCTAAAAGACAATGTAATTTTTAGTTGTTATCAAACGGCCCCTAAATCAAGCTAAAGTGAGCCTAACCATCAGAATTTTGAACCCCATGAATTCAAGTTGGTAATTTGTAGACTGGTTTCTCTTCTCTGCATTGAGCATCCATGGAACAGTTTTCTGATCGGACGGATCACATTCACCCAGAACCAGGGGTAGAAATCTGCACAAGAATGTCTCAACCTACTGATATGGCCAGCCCCACATCTAGATTTAGACTCGAACATAGGCATCTTCCATTTCTTTAACCAGCCTTTAACAAGGCTAAGAGATACTGTTGTCTCTCACTTTTATTTATTTGGGGAATTCCTTCTTTCTTGCTTTCTGCTTCTATTTCATGCTCCAAACTCTAATTTCTAAGTGAAAATCTACAATCATAAAGCCATTTTGCAGCCTGCCGAAACTAGTTTATTCAAGACAAAGGGTGCAAGGCTTTCTCATTAACACTGAAATGATTACTAAAGCAAGCAAAACTTCTAAGTTAAGATCAACCATGGAAAGAAAGTGTGATAATCAATCACACTCCCCAATCAAATCATGCAGCCAGGATAAAGGACAGGCTTGAGAAAGAAAAGCCTTAAACTGAGAATTGATCCCCGTAGGAGGCCCTCTCTGAATCGATGTAAAGGTTGGATGGCCAGGGATCCCAGGACAGAAATTGGCCTCTAAAGGCCCAAACCTCAAGTGGGTACAATGGGACCCACTACCTCCTAGGATATTAGAATTCTAAGTTCCAAAATTGTTTGGTGAAAGCCACCTTTTCTGCCTTTTTTTTTAGTTCTGATCTTAACTCCCGAGATTGGAAGGCTCATGGACTTCCACTCTTATCCCACCGAAATACAGGGTATTAATCTGTAATAAAAGTCTACTTGAAGCCATTGCTATTCTTTTGGGCTTTCTTCCCTTCATCATGTTATCATTAAGTCAAGTGCAAACTCATCTTACTGAATTGAGAATATCAAGAAACACCCATTCATATGCTGGCTTTCACTTACCCAAGATGAACACTAAGGCAGCACTAAACATCTAAAGGGGTTTTTAAGCAACTAATTGCAGCAATTCAGCTTGGTGGTGGCATGATTGCTATAATAGTTCATGGGAGGATGAAATTAACCTTATGCAATCACTACAAGTTTGTTTTATAAACTTACCTCTATTTCAATTTGCTGATGTCAACAACAATAATTAATTGGAAAATCCTTGTGATTACTAAATGAGTATATCAGAGAGAAAGAGAGAGAGAGAGAATAAATAGTGTATTATATTAATTCAGCAACCAGGAAAAAGAAAACAGTAACTTATCAATGTAATATAATAATCAAAGAGATAACATTTCAGAAACCAAATACAGTTAAAGATGGAAGAGAAGGTGCTTAATATATGTTTAGACATGAAAGCATTCTAGGAGAGCTTTTCTATATATAACCTAGCTTTGGGATAAGAATATAATGAGAACAAAACAGTTTATTGTAAAGCCACTCAAAATTAGCAGCAACTTACTTGAATGTTCGTGCAGGAAACTTGGGAATAAGGCCACTCAAATTATTGTAAGACAAGTCCCTGTGGTGTGGCCAAACCCAGAAACCTTCTTCAGATACAATTGCCACTTATAGAATTTAACTAATTATTAATAGAAAAAAAAAGATAAAACAGTTTATACAAAGAAAAACATACAAAAAAACGTAAGCATTTTTTTCAACCATTTTTATTTTAAAAAATGCAATATATATCAAATTCGTTCTGATTTTAAAATAGAACCTATTTTTTTATCAGATCCAATTCAAAAATCTGATAGAAAGATATATGAATCGGACAAAATAGGATCAAACTGAATTCAAATTCGAAAGAGCAGATCTCAGAGTTCAATGACGTAACTTATCGAAGAGACTGAAAGCCTCATTGAACTCTGAGATCTGCTCTTTGGTGAGCTGCTCGACCATTGATTTTTTTCAAAAAATAAAAAACCTATAAAACAGAGAAAGGGATTTTTGCCTGAATCAGATGCCGCCGGTGTGTGACAGAGCAAGAGATTGAGATGTGCGACTGTGTGTAACTATGTGTGAGATAGATTGAGATAGAGAGCGAGGAGAGCGTGAGAACGACTGAGTGAGTGAGAGAGAGAGAGAGAGAGAGAGAGGACTGAGAGAGATTGAGATAGAAAGTGAGCGAGAGCGAGAGAACGACTAATAGAGATCTCGGGAGAGAGAGAGAAAGAGAGAGAGGACTGAGAAAGAGACTACTGGGAGAGAAGAGAAAACAGACAGGGCGGGAAGGAAATGCGCGGGGGAGGAAAATCCGCGCCTTTTCTCTCTCTTTACTCTAGCGGCAGTCCGTGAGTCTTAGTGGCAGTTTTAATCGACTGCCGCTAAAAACAATATATTTCTAGCGGCAGTCGCCCTACTGTCACCTTAAAACTGCCGCTAATAGTCATATTTTTTGTTTTTATTTGTTTTATCAACTATTATGATATTTCTAGTGTTTTTATTTGTTTTATCAACTATTGTGATATTATTTTGAGACATTTTATATAGAATATTGTGATTTAAAATTTAAATTCCAACAATAATTTCTAATATGAATTTCTCTTTTAAAAACTTAGACCTCAAGGGTCACATTTTTACTTCACTAATAATATAAATATTACAAGTTGCATTGGCAATTGCATAAAAATCTCACTATATAAGTATAATTTTGTTTCATTTAACAAAATTGCATATATATAATTTTGTTTCATTTAACAAAATTGCATACTCGTAAGTATATTGCAAATTAGTACCTTGGGCCAAGTCTTACTTTGGTCTCCGAACTACAAAACATGTCAATCTAGTATTTGAATTTCCAAAACGTACCAATTTAATCCTAAATCGTTATCTGGCACGTGAAAAGATGCAAATAACCTTCAGGTGTCATCTAATTTTCTTTATAAACCAAATACACAAAAACTGTTAGTTGGGCCACTCAGGCATGGGATCTTTGTTAAAATCTTAAAGAACCGACGTTGACGATGGATAGTCGATGTGAGCGTCAGAAAACGGCTCACTTGCCACTTGGGTTGGAAATGGATCGCCACCCATCAAGTAATTGAAGGGGAGGTTATGGGACCTCTGGGATTTACATCGAAAATATTTTGATTCAATAGTGACTCCAAGACCCAGGGCTGACTACACCAGTCCGGGTAAGACTTGGATGGGAGAGGGAAGGGGTTAGGCACCCCTCTCCTGGGTCCAACAGGTGGGGCCCACATGGGATCCAAGCAATCATAATAACAAAAAAGCAAACAATAATAAATCCCATAAACAAGTAAACACCAAGCACTAATGCCAAGCAAACACTCCTCTCTCTAATTTCAGTATTTTGATAAATATATGATTATCTTATTTATTTTCTTTTATTTTTATTTTTTATTTTTTTATATACCCTCTTATATATATATATATATATATATATATTTTTTGCTTTGCTTTATTTATCTTTTTTATTTTTATATTTTACTTTTATTTTATTTCTACTATCTTGTTTTGATTTATTTATGCCTATTTACTTACTTATATGTTGTATTTTCTTATCTCTTCAAAATTATTTACTCTTTCATAATTTTCTCATGGGGCCTATTCCTAAATTTATTCACTAGACTAATGATTTATTTATCCAATTCTACCCCTAAGACGAGTCTCTATATTTCCTTATTAATTTTCCTTTTTCATATATTTATTTATTTTTAAATCTGCTCCAACTTCTATAATTGGCATCTTTCCCTGCCTAGTTTATTCTGTTCTCGAAGTAGCCACTCTTTCCTCCCCTTTTCTCTTTTTATTTACATTAATTCCAATTTCCATAAGACTTATTCAAGCAGGAATAAAAATTTTTACACCCAATATCTCATACTGATAATCGTTACTCAATATTTCTCAATATCACCAGATATCGCTTCCATCAATCTAGACAAGAGTCACATCCTGATCTTTTTGATTTCAAAGGATCCGGACTCAGTATTCAGGTAATTCACATACCAAAACAATGTCATGTGCCAGAACCAAGCACTGTAAACCAGAGATATAAACATACATTGCAGCAACAATCTAGGAGTTAGCCATGACATGCAAAAATAACTCAGATAATTGAAGATGAGTAGGTCAGTACAGAGGGTTTATTAAATCCTTGAAAAGCTACTTATGAGAAATCTGGGCCCCAATCGATACTCCAAAAAAAAGKTATTTGTTCACAGTGAATAGAAAGAATCCCATGATCCAAACGACAGATGAGCAAGCATGAGAATACAAGTTTTTTAATATTTACTTAACATTCCATTAAAGGATTCCCTACTCGATCGACATGAGAGAGCGTAATCAAGAAGAGACAAAATAATCATTAGTGCTGGTCATTAATTTCCGATAGAGTCCATGACACAAATACAGACCAATGCATTCTTGAAAGACAGAAAATAGATCATGCGGTTCGAGAGAAAGAAACAAGGACTACATAATAAGATTTGAGTTGCTTTAAATCTTTTGCAGAAGTTGGTTCAATGGCTATTCCCATCACCAACTTAGACCATGGACTCAAATCTTATGCTAACCCATATCTAAAGAATATAGAAAAGAACAGTGATTGAACACTGAAGGAAAATAAAAGCGAAAGGAAAAGGTTTGGTTGGCTAATCTAGGGTCTCGGAATGGAATCTAGGTACAACCAAGGGACAAACAGGATCTGTTTTGGATGAAACTTCTCAAGGCAGAGTTTTAAGATAATCTGAGATTATTGGTAAAGTCAGATTGAGTTAACTAGGCCTGAATTGGGTAGACTTGGAATCCGATCAATGTAGGACTTTGAAATGAAATCTTGGTGGAATTAAAGGGTAAACAAAGGTATTTTGGGATGAGATTTCATAGGTGGGTATTTGGAGGTGTCTAGGATCTGATGGTGATGTTTGATTAGTCTTGGGGAATCAAGATCATATGAATTTGGGTCAACGAGATACTGGAATGAAATCTTTGTTTGATAGACGGGCAAATGGGAGAATCTAGGGCTGGAACTTTTTGGGCAGGTGTTTTGATGCGCTGGAGTTTAAAGGTGCGGTTTTATCAGTTTGGGTGTGTCCAAATCAAGAGAATCTGAGTTCCTAGTGTTTAGGCTAACGAGAGGGGTCGAAATGGAATATTTGCTTGATGGATGGGTGAACGGAGGAATCTTGAGTTCTAATTTCATGGGTATGTGTTTTGAGAGGTTCTAGGTCTGATGGTTGTGTCTGATCTAATGGCTGAGGCATAAGTGGAGGGGTCAATTGGGGCTGTTTGATAAGTATCGAGTGGGTTTAACGATGGATTTGAGGATTCTCGGGGTAAAATTCGGGTTTTTTTGAGTTTTTGGGTATTTTGGATGAATCGGAAGGATTCGATTGGAGATTTGGGGCGAATTAGAGGTTTAGGTGACGGACCGAGCAAAAATTGGATGTCCACAGTTGACACCTTGTAGTTGTTTTTGAAAGAAAAGGTATCGATATCAGTGCTTGATGCATGTTAGCAAACATTGTCCATAATCTCGGCCACCATGCATTCATCTCAACTATCTTATTGACACCGAGCTCCACCTATTTAACATCTCAACTATCGTTAATGTGAGAGTTAGTTTGTTTCCCATTATTATTGTCATTTGTTTTGATGACAACCTCTCTACGATCGCCCAAAGAGTCAGATCTAGATATTTGGTTGTTGATATCAAAGAGGATAGGCTGCTCTTCCTGATTCAATTCTTACCCACCAGCTGAGATTTTAATTAAAGGAACTTGCAAACAATTCCATGAAATGTGGTCTCGTGAGTTTCAACCACTTGAGTAGAGCCATTAACATGGATTTACCCATGTTGATACAGCTTCACGAGTCCAAAGTCACCTAATTGACCTCTCACTTCTGAATCATTTAACATGTTGCTCAACTTGATGTCCCTATAGAGCATGACTTGGTCCCACCCATAGTGCAGATGGTTCAAGACCTCCACTACGTCCATTAGCACCTTGCACCATCTCCCCACCCCACCCTATAAATTACTTCAGCTTGTCGAAAATCCAACAATTACGGCTACCGTTGGGCATGTAATTGTATACCAACATCAACTTCTTTCCTTTCATGCACCACCCTCTTATTTGGACTAGATTTTTGTGTTGGATCCTACCCATGCTTCAAATTTTCAACATGACTTCTCTCAACCCTTCTTTTGGTAATTAATTATTCTTGTGGGTCATGCCCGTGAATGAACCAAAACAACTACTAGACCTGAAACAAATTCGGGAGGCAATACCCCTATTTCCCTTCTGAATTAAATGATTATTTGAAATTGTTAGATGATTCAAGATAACAACTAACGCGTATGTGAAGAAAGAAACTATCAAAGAAATCATAGAAATGTTGGGTTCATTGTCTTATTTTGTTGGGGTCCATATTCGGATCAAACTTTGTAGTTAGAGTCGATAATGGACGATGAACAATGTCTTGCGAAAGAAGACAATGAAGAAAGTTTTTAATTGTAAGGGTAATTTTGGAATTTTGAAATGTTTCGAATGC